CTTCCGATCTGGCTAATCTACATGCCTCCGTCGAAGGAGGCATGTAGTCTAGACACACCCTTAGTGATACCATCATCGATCCTACCCACATTAGCCATACCATCAGGGGTTCATGCACCTGCCCATCTTCTAAAGTGATATGTACCATTATATGCCAACAATGCCCCACTGCTAGGTACGTTGGCCAAGCCAATTTGTCTCTATACAAAAGAATAAATGAATACAAATCAGCCATCAAGAATGGTAACATTCAAAACCAGTAGGAGAGCACTTCAATCTCCCTGAGTACTCAGTAACAGACTTGAACGTTGCCATACTTTAGCAAACAAACAAATAAACAAAAAAATTTAAACCTTCAAAAACAGATGTCAGCATGAAATTACAGAGCTGGGATTCAGAGGCAAACTTGACAATATCAGACAGAGTCTGAATAGAGACTGGGAGTGGCTAGCACACTAAAAAATGTAATTTTCCTTTTTTTTTATTCACATCGTTCTCATCAATTGTTGGGAATGGGCCATGGCCACCCTGATTGAATTGACCTCGTTAGCACTGGTCTTCCATGTAGTAATGTAACAAATCCATCTTTGCATGTGTATATATCCCTGCCAAACTGAAGGCTCCACTTCGGGGTCTGATGAAGTGGGTTCCAGCCCATGAAAGCTTATGCCCATACACATTTATTAGTCTTTAAAGTGCCACAGTACTCCTCATTGTTTTAGTTCAGCAATGTTTGAGTATGAAACGAGTGGATTAAATTAAGTTTTTCCATTATAAAAAAGGAACTGCGGCCCCTTTAAAAAACGATCCTACCAAAATTGCTGGAAATAGAAAACTAAATTTTTCCATGGATCTAGCCCTCGCTGAGGAGACATGCTATTTGATTTGGTCTGCATTTGCCAGACTTTCTGCAAGTCATGCTGTACATTTGCATGGAGCCTTTTGTTTTGTTTTTTTGCTTAGCTTGTAATGTGCACATCTTAGAAAGGCGGCACTGTGCGTGGCTCATTTATGTGTGTAATGAAAAGTGCACTGAAGCAGGACATAAAAATGGAAATCTCATGCAGAACAAACTGAAGTTCATAATTTCTTAGACCCTCTCCCTGCATAGCCCTTACTCATGTGAGTAAAACTTTCATGTGAGTTGTCCAACTGAGATTCAATGAGGCGTTGGGCTTCAGTGATTAGCACATAGCGATGGGATTGCAGGAGTATACCCCTGAATAGTAATAGCTTTGTCATCTTCTGGTTCTTTCAATTTCTTAGGATAGCACTGCAGCAGAATAATTTAAATAAAGGGGAATGCCAGGAAGAATCAGAGGATATTGAAGATAATCCCCTGTACCACTGCCATAGCCACTCTACGGCCTATGAGAACAGAAAAATAGAACAATGTCAAGCCAAGCGGAAGCTTTATGCAGCATCAATAATTTGCCTCATCTTCATGATTGCTGAAATTATAGGTGAGTACAACTCTGTGTTTTGCCATCAAGGAAATTTCATATTGTTCTCAAGGTCAGTGATGTTGAGCCCTTTCTTCATTATAGAAGGGTGAACCAGCTGGGAAAAAAATAACTAATCCCAGACATCTCATCATCTCCAAGTTAAAAAAAAAGGGTTAACTTTTTTAGTGAATTTTTCAAAACTTAGGTGTGACTGTGTTTTAAGGATTAAGGTGGGATCTGGAAATGGAGGGAACAATCCGAATACTGCACTGGTTTGATAGTTTAAGCCTGTCTCAAACCAGGAGAGTTGTAGAATTTTTATGAGACAGTCTCCTATCCTATTTCCAAATCTTATCACCTCTGGATCAGATTCAGAATTTGATGTTTATCCAAGCTTGGCAGGCCTGCAAACATTTGAGGATCACCCACCAGTAAGATTTTATATAAAACAGATGCAAGGTAACAGTCTCTAGGGTCATATTCATCATTTGTGTCACTCCACAGAAGTCAATAATTATATCAGGATGGATTTAAGCATCAGATTTGACTGCTGGTTTGTTGTTGGATGAGTGGATTGGAGGTGGCTTGAGGATGACAATTATGTTTAGCAATAACTTTTGAAAGTTTTAAAATATTGTATTTGTTCTGCATTAAAAATAAAGCAACCCCCTGTGAAGGTTTTCATGAACACAGAATTGGGTTGAAATGTCCACCTTCAGACTAAAACCTAAGCTTTTCAATGTGGAAAGGGGCATGCTTGTTAGAACACAGGCCTGTGAGAATCAGTTTACTCTAAATCAAACAGACCAGAGAGCTGGAACTTGGTCTCACACCTCCCAATCACTAGCCCTTAAATACCAGGACATAGAATGGGAGAATCAATAGCACTCTTTCAATGGAAACATTGTCTAAATTGGTATGTCTGCAGTTTTGATGAAGCAGCATTTTCTGGCAAAGTTTAATTTTGTCAAAAATGTTCCAGCCAGCTCTAAAGTGAGTCCAGCTGGCAGTATTTTATTCCACAATTAAAGAGGCCTTGTTCATAGGACCTGTCCCCTGATAGTCATACTAATTTTTCCTTAGCTATCTCCCATAGCAACTATGTCCCCTGGAGTCACTCTAAACAAGTTCTCTCCCTCCTTAATATTTATATCCCACTGATACTTGTGTGCAGTTATGTTTTCATCCCTTCTTTACCTTCTCCTTTTTAGCTGTTTGTATAGCTAAGTTATATATATTTATTTACTTCAGTATTTCCTCAGAAATCAGTCCTTCCAGCCCTTAAATTGTTTTATGGGGCTGCTTTGACTTTTCCCCAATAAAACAAATCCCAACTTTCTCCATACCATAATAAAGATATCTGAGAGGTGCGGATGCATTTATTTTTATAAATCCAGGGAAAGCTTCATCGCCTATGCCAGTGAGAGATTTTGGAGATGTGGTAGGGTGCACTGATGATGCTGTGTGTGAGGTGAGCACAAGGTGCATGCCATATCAGCAATATCTTGTGGTAGCATGAGGAAGCATGCTTAGAAACCTGTGCACTTGAAAGGGTTTTTTCCACACCTGTCCCACATAGTATAGTAGGGGACAGTTAGGGAAGGACTATGGAATCCATGCTTACATAGATCTAGTACCCCTTGAAACCCCATGAAATTACAGGGATTGTCTGCTATTCTAGCCCTCATGTCTTTAGGATGAAGCCAATGGTTTAATTATTAAAAAAAAGTAGATAAACTAACCTAAACACAGTTACCCCTCTATGACTTTTAGCCTAAACCACACTTTGTATTCCCAAAATGAAAAGGTGGTTAGCTCTGTTTACCTCTGACTACAGTACTGTCTGGAGCTGTGGGTATTGAGAAACTGAACTACAGGTTGAACTCCAGGACTCTCTGGTCCTGCAACAGCCAAGGTCCAGCATGATTTTAGTTAGCCAGATATCCATTTATCTTGGGTGTGGCCAAGTTTCCTGCAGTCCGATACAGTTTGTTTACAGCCACCCGCCCTGGCTCTCAGTATTTTGTGCTGTTATTTAGCTCTAATTTACACCTAAATGTCTTCGATGGGCACAGAAAGGAGTGGAAATGTGGGTAATGCTGCTAGACGGTATTGACCTCCTTCTGTGGTTCGGCAAATTCTCTGGTTTGGCATCAGTCAGGCCCTGAGAGTGCTGGATTAGAGAGGTTCAACTTGTATTGTCTTCTGTCTTTGTTGTCCATTAAAGGGTGAATTATCTTCCCCAACTTTTTTACCGTCTTCCCACACATACACTTTACGTGAATAAATTTCTTGTGGGTCAGGTGTATTTCAGCAGGTGAAAATTGGTGCATGCTATTTGTCTCCATGCAATAATATCCAGACACAGAAGTAATGCTTTGTTAACAAAGCCATTTAAGCAGTTGGCTTAAGTTTGGTGAATACAGCAATGCTAGAGGATAATTGGAAGGACAGATGATATGTTAACAAAATGTTTCCTTTTTCTTAATGAATTGTTCAGATTTTTGCAGTGACAGCTAAGTAACAGGCTTGTTTCAGAACATTAAACTCTGACAAACCAGTTATTAACTGCAGTTACAGACAGCAGTCTATGGGGATTATGGCAATTATGAACCATACATTTAATTTTTTTAATCGTTAGGCTAGACAGCCTGTGCTATAATATTGACCACTAAATGACTGAAAATTTATATTGCTTTGTAGTATACAAAGCAATAAACAACCACTGTGAGTACTAATCAGTCACAAAGCCATTTGCTGGGAGTATTACCACAAATAAATAAACTGCATAACTATAGTACAAGACTTCCTTTTGAAAGTAAAGAACATTTTATCTTCCCATCCTCTCTTTACCTCTTTTTAACTGTTCGTTTAGCCAAGTGGTTTACAACCTGTGGTCTATGGACCCCCCAATAGGGGGTCCACGAAAAGTTTTAAAAGTAAGGATCAAGACCACCACATTGGGCCCAATCCTTATTTTTCTTTTCCTTTTCTTCTCACCTGCTCCCCCTCCCCCACGCAGCACCAGGGCAGGGAGAGGCAGTAGCTATGTGCACCGGGATGTGGCTTGATTTTGATCCTGTTCTCTGGAAGCTAAGGGAGCATGCAGAAAGTACTTGTATGCCATGCATGCCTCTCACACCTGGCTAGTGTGTGAGAGGCATGCACAGGATGCACGCACTTTCCCTTCACTCCCTTAGCATCCGGGGAATAGGATCAAGCCATGTTCTGGTGGGCATGGCTCTCCCCTCCTCCTCCTCTCCCCCCGACCACACACCTCTGAAGTTCCGCCCTTGCCCCTTAGCCTCCCAATATTTCACCCTTGAGGAGCTGGTAGCTCCAAAGCTCCTTTTGGCAATGAGAACTTCCTTGCTCCATGGATGAGCAGTGAACAGAAGAGACAGGAGCTGAGGAAGCAGTGCAGGTGAATAGCAATCAATGGGACGTGAGAAGCTCCATGCCCTGCAGTCTGCGCAAGCAACCCTCAGCCCACGCTTGTCCTGCTGACAAGCTGTGACTGTACTCTGGAGTTGGCTTATTAACGTCAGTCACTTTTTATCATTTTTTCTCCTTTTTGATGTCACCCCCCTCTAATCTTTCAAAAGCTATTAGAGTGGTGGGAAGGGTTTAGTTGGGCTAGCAAAAATGGATCTTTAAGAGGGGTCTGTCGAATTTGAATAGATTGAAAAGGGATCCGAATGCTTGAAAACTTTGGGAATCACTGGGTTAGCCAAATTATATATATTTTCTTCAGTATTTCCTTAGAAATCAGTTTTTCCAGCCCTTAAATAGTTTTATGAGGCTGCTTAGAATATTCCCCCAGTAAAGCAAATCTCATCTTTCTCCATATCATAGATATGCATCTCAGAGGTGTGGATGCATTTATTTTTGTAAATCCTGGGACAGCTTCATCACCTATGCCAGTGAAAGAGGAAAATACTCCTCTAGGCAAAACTGATGTAAGCAGCTAAAAAGGGGATTACTTGTGGGGGAATACTGCACCACTGTAAAATACAGAGTCTGTGCAGAAATTAATGTTCTGCATGGAATTTTTCTCCCACCCCTTGAAATGGACTGCAAAGCTGCTGGCCACCACTAGGGGCTGCTGGAGCTTGCAGAGTCCAGTTTGAAAATAGAAGACACTGCCAGGGAGGAATGGGAGGAGGAGCTGGAGGATTCACAGCACCTGCAGTTTCTGGCATGCCCTGGAGGAAAATAGGGTGTAAAAGGATGTTGCAGCATTTTGAGGTCTGTATGACAGGTTAAGAGAAAAACATCTCATATTCCAGCTTCTTGTGGTTGCAACATGTTGCATGAAGATGTGGCATGTCATAGTGTTAAATAGACGTTTACCTAGAAAATGTCTATAGTGTATCTTTGGGTGATGTATCACAACTGAAAACTTGTGGGAGGGGAGGGCCAGGGGAGGGAGGGACCAAGGTGCCATAAGTAGGCTTTGGCCAGGAGTCACTTACCTAGGCAGCTCCTGGCCTGCAGCCCAGCAAGTTCCTCAACCAGGCTCCCTGACTTCCATGCCCCTGCATACTGGTCCAAGCATCTCCCATTGTCCAGTTTCCAGTCAGTGGGAGCTGTGGGACTGTGCCGGGGTCTTACAGAAACACATGGTCATTGCAGTGGCTCCTCTGAGCAGTGTGCGGAGGTGAGGCAGGCAGGGAGCCTGATTGAGGCTCTACTGGGTGGCTGGCCAGATCCAGCGACTCCTGCTATAGCCCATAGGTGTCACACACTGAAAGCAAGTCCTACTGAAATAAAATAAGTTTAATTAAAGTTTTAATAAGTTTAATAATAAGTGTAATGTGACAAATGTAAAACTCCCTTCCCCTATCAAAAATACTATACTGTTTATCACATAAATAGGGCTCAGAAATTACTATCTTTCTTTTGGATCCTTCCTATTGACCATTGTTCACTGTCTTTGAATTGCTCTAAATTATGCCAGAGAACAAACCTGGCACCCAGTCAACCCAGAATGCGGGGAAGAGGAGGAGTGGGAAACAAAGTTATCATTACCCATTTTTCTGTTGTTAAATTCGGATTGGGATTATATTGTGTTGACATAAATGTCAGCGATTTGTGAGGTTCATGGGATTGTAATTGATTATATTTGAGACTGCAATTGTTTTTCCACTTTATAATAACAATTAAACCAAATTTCCAAAGAGTTACAATAGGTTTAAGATTTATCAGCCAATAGATTCTTTAGTAAAACTTAAGATGCAACTTTTTTTTAGGATTAGGAATAGTTGAATGCAGGCTTGGGATAAAAACTTCTTATAATCTATAAAGAGTTTAAGTGTAACCCTTCTGCCAGGTAACACCAGCAGCATCCAGGGCCAGGTTCAATATCTAGGGGTTCCTTTTCATCCATCCCACACAGAACTGTCTCGAGCCCCACTCAGTAGCCTGGGAAATTCACACATCTCTGGGCACCTCTGAGAGGCAATGTTTCCCCACTCACACACACAGAGTCTGAGTGTAGGAAAGAAACTTTTAATGAAAAAGAGGGAGAAGTAACATGACATTAACTTGGGAAAACACCACAAACAGAGTTCATAACCAAACCACAAGTACACGTCCCAGCTCAAGTGGATTGAGCAATGTGCTGTGCCTCTCAGGCTCACAAATCCAGCAATATAAGTGTCCCATTCACATGCCCAACCTTTCTCCGTACCTCACTCCTAGTTGCGGCCCTTGGTCAGGGCAGACCAGAGCTCAGAGGTGATTTTCAGAGCTCACCTCCCACCCTTGGGGGGGGGGGGGGGGTGGCAATAGGAGACATCTCACCCACTCCATTGGTCACTCACCACTGCTCCTTCCAGCTGCTCCCACTGGTCACCTGCCGGCTGCTTCCTCCTGCCAACTACCCTGCTGGCCTCCTGCTGCCATTCCCTCCGGCCACCTGCTGGCTGTGTGCTGACATCCTCCCTGCTGACCACCTGCTTCTGCTCCCTCTGGCTGCCTGCTGGCCACGTGCTCCTGCCAGCTGTGCTGCTGGCTGCCTGCTGTTGCTCTCACAACAGCTGGCACCTGTTCCTGCCAGCCATCCTGCTGCTTCTTCCATGATGGGTCTGGCTCTGGGCTAAACCTAGGCTATGTCTACAGTGCCTCCTCTTGTGCAAAAAAATATGTAAATGAGGCAAAACGTGGAATATCACTACATCTCATTTACATAATGAATGAGGTTCCACTTTTGGGCAAGAAGCTTTTGTGCAAAAAGAGCCGTCTACATGGCTCCTTTTTGCGTAAAAAACCCCTCTTGCACGAGAGCTGCTCTTCCTCTTTTTTTCAGGAAGAACGGCTCTTGCACAAGAGGGGATTTTTGTGGAAAAGCATCTTGCGCAAAAATGGAGCCTAATTAATTATGCAAATGAGATGTGGTGATATTCCACGCTTTGCCTCATTTGCATTTTTTTGGGCAAGAGGGGGCAGTGTAGACCTAGCCCTAGTGATTTCAGCTCTCAGTGACTTCAGCTCTTGGCCCACCACATAGGCTGGCCAAAAGATTCCCTGCCACTTATTTATTTAAGATTATTTATTTAAAATAATAAAAAGATCCCCCCCCCCTTATGGAATCTGTTTTAGTTCTATCCTTAGAACAGGGGTGGGAGGAAGAGAGACAGGTTGAACCAGTCTTATAGCTCACACCTGGAGTGCATGTAGCCTGCCTGTCCAAGATCCTTCCCCCCAATCCAATCCACTTGAGTCTGAAAGGGAAAAGCTTGTCCATCCTAGACTCTTTACAATGACAGTGTTTCTCCTGCAAGCACTGGTGGTCATATTTTACAATCCCTACATTTAGGGTTAACACGGTTTGTGACCCTACAACAGCCAAATTAGTTACAATAGGCAAAATGCCATTCTAACAATTGACCATTCTTCAAGCCTATGGCAGTGGCTGAACTGGATTTACATAACCACAGCCAGGATTTCTTTCCCATTCCAGCATGAGCATATCAACAGTTGAATACCTTGCTGGGCTAGACAACTAAGTGAGCATAACCACACCCGGGACTCCTTTCCCCTTTCAGCTGGCTGCATTGAAAGCAGTGGTTCAGACTCTGCTTACATACTGTTATGCCATACATTAACATCATAAATGAAGTTTTCCTTAGCTTTACAGCAAATAAGATCTTGGATATATGGCCTATTATAAGCACGTTTTTGTTTTATGCAGGTGGACAAATTGCTGGAAGTCTTGCCGTGATAACTGATGCAGCACATATCTTGGTTGACTTGACAAGTTTCCTGATCAGCCTTTTCTCATTGTGGTTATCCTCTAAACCGTCCACTAAACGGTTAACTTTTGGATGGCACAGAGCAGGTACCAAATGTACTGTCATATGACCATGTAAAACAGAAAAGGCAATTCATCATAACAAATACACTGGAAAGTATTCTGAGATCAGGCACAAGCCCACAGGGCTCATGAGGCTAATCCATTAATATTCTGAAAGCTCCAAAGATGCATCAGAAATTTAAAACAGCACATTATGGAATTTCAGAGAAGAGTAGAGTATAACACTGGAGAACATTACAGACAAAAAGCACTATTTAGGACTTGCTGCCCATATCTTAAATACTGCATGTGACATGGCCACCTCATCTCAAAAAAGATATATCAGAATTGAAAAGTGTTTGGAAAAGGGCAAAAAAATGACTAGAGGTATGAACTGGTTGCCATATAAGGAGAGATTAATAAAATTGGGACTTTTCAGCTTGGAGTGCAGGATACTAGGATATATATATCTTTGGTCAAACCCAGTATGGCTTTACTTATGTTCTTATGAATGTTCCCATCCAAATTAACCAGACTATGCAATTGCTTAAAGTTCAGTAAATACTTAAGATTTGCAAAATCAAGACCTATGTATATCATACTAGCATACATTTCCTCTCAAGTGGAGTTAATCATCTTGACTTTTCTCTATTACCCCCGTTTTCATGGAATCATAAAAATGGAAACAAAGGAGAGTCGAGACCATAAAAAACAAACAATAAAAAAACCCCAAACCCACTATGTATGAAATACTGGCTCTACAAATGTCAATAGCAAAACTCCCACTAATTTTATTAGGGTTCTGATTTTCCCCTATATCTTGGCGAATTGAAGGTATGAGCTCCAGCTATATGTATTTGGAAATACATACACAATTTGTGCGTGTATTTAATTTACAAACACTCTATTCACGCATATAACACACGTGTAAATTAAACAGTCACACAAATTTTCTTTAGGTCATAGCAACTGTATATATGATAGCATTTAGTACATATTTGTTGCCACATGTATTTAACAAGTAGAGCTGCGCAAAGAGTATAACATTTTAAAAAATCCCTCAAAACCAGCCTTATCTGAGTTTGACTTGCATTCAGGAACAGTCTACTAAGGGTTTGTGCAATTGTGCGCTCCATTTGATATCTGCAAACTCGAGCTTTCAATTCTATACTGCATTTTAATTTCACATGGTGTTTTTGGGGCAATTGGGCAGAAAACCCAACGTGCACTGCACATTATCCTGTTTTGTGAACCAGCAGACATTCTGCCAGCCCATTACAAATCCATAATTCCCAAACCATGCCTGCAACAAGAGTCGACCCAGAGGAAACTGGATTTATTTGAAACCAACATGGGTTGGGACCTGCAAACACATCAGCATTACTTCTAATGGTGAAAAAATTGTGACTCTGAGGCTATGTCTACATTGCAGAATTTTTTTCGAAAAAAATGGCAGTTTTTCAGAAAAGACTTCATTTATGTCCATACTGCAATCGCGTTCTTTCAGAAAAAAATCAAAAGAACACAGGGTTTTTTCCGACGCTGGTAAACCTCTTTCTATGAGGAAGAAGCCTTTTTCCGAAAGGCTGGATGTGTGGATGGGGAAGAGGGAGTTCTTTCGAAAGACGAGGAAAGAGGAAAAAGCATAGGTGCTCTGGTGGCCATTCTATCCATAGTAATCACAGCTTAAATGCGAGATTCATTCAGTATGGACGCTATCTTTCAAAAAAGCAGATCGCTTTTTCGATGTGCTTTGGCAGTGTGGACGCTCTCTTTCGGAAGAAGTTTTTTCGGATGATCTCTTCCAGAAAAGCTTTTACTGAAAGAAGCCGGAGGTCTGGAGGTAGCCTGAAAGTGGTAGCACTAATCCGTTAGCTAAATTCTTGCATTTTATTTTATATGCCTTTGAAATTCAATTATTTTAATCCCTAGAAATTCTGGGTGCTTTGATGTCGATGATAATCGTTTGGGTGGTGACTGGTGTGTTGACATATTTGGCTAGCATGAGACTGCTGCACCCAAATTATGAGATTGAAGCTACAGTGATGCTCATTACTTCTGGTTGTGCAGTGATAGCCAATATCATGTAAGTTGTCTTTTTTGTATACAAAATACTTAACCATTCTGAGATTTCCTGGCAATATATACATATATTTACACGTAAGGTGGCAACCGCTTACCTTTTTCTCTAAAGAATGTGATACCGAAGTGTTTGTTGCTGTTCTATCAGACAGTCTGATCTCACTGATGTTTGGAGCATTGTATTGTTTCTCTTTCAGATTAAGTCTGATTTTGCACCAGACTGAGCACGGACATAGTCACACAACACAAGCCAATGAACATATTTCAGCTTCTCAACAGAAGCCAGCTTTGGCCAATGCCAGTGTGAGGGCAGCTTTTGTGCATGCCATCGGAGATCTATTTCAGAGCATTAGTGTGCTAATTAGTGCACTTATAATATTCTTTAAGGTCAGTTTTATTGGGTTTACTCACCTTCATAGCAATTAAGGATGCAGTTATTTTCAAAACACTGTCATTATTTCTCTGTCTTAATGATATATATATTTCTCTATCTTGATATATATTGTAATTTAATCAAGTTATGTTCATTTCTGGGAATAAAATGGCTGTTGAGAGCACAACATTTTTTTCCTGGGGTTAAGCCAGAAGGAACATATTGTGTGTTTTTCCTCCTTCATCTTTAGTGGCCTGAGATCTTAAAGAATAATTCAATCAGAAAACTGTCTGTTAACTCAGCTGTGCTGGGTCTGTACTGGTTGAGAATATTAGCAATGGTTATTGTGTTAGATAAATGGATTATATTAGATTTTGATTAGTTCTTTTAAACTGTCAGCCAGAAACTGAAATTTTAATCAAGTGATGTACTTATATTTTTTTAGCCAGAATATAAAATAGCTGACCCAATCTGCACATTTGTGTTCTCTATCTTTGTTCTGGCAACAACCATCACAATTTTAAGGGACATTTTGCTTGTGTTAATGGAAGGTAAGAACTTTTATATGCACACTAGTTATTTCTAGAATAAATATTATTCTGTGTCTTTCTCTCTAATACTTATAAACACAGCCAAGGATTTAAAAAATAGATAAATTGGGCTCTTAAATCTAGGTTTAGTCCTCTAAATACTTGGCCTTAATTTGAAAAATGTTGGACAGAGAACATTTCCCATTGATTTCTGCCCAGGTACCTAAAAATGCATTCAGAAAACCAACTTTAGGCACTCGTTATTTAAGAAAATCTTCACCACTCTTCATGGAAGAAATACATTTTTTCTATATGTACATTGTGTTGAAAATCTCAAAAATGTTAGTTATTGAAATTGTATGAAATTATAAGTGCACTGAATTTTTGAATTTCAAGCCCTAAATTACAATCTTAATTTGTACAGAAAGTTACTAAATTGTATGCATAAATTGGGCATTCATATGTTTAAAGTGGCCATTTTCACATTTATCTGGTCATCTAGGTGCTCAAATAGCCAGTCAATACATATATTCCTGGCAACTGTGCATGAAAATTAGAAGTGCAACTGGATATTTGACTTTTTTAAAAATTGGACCTTTAGTGCATTAGATGGTGAACACGAAAATCTGAATTGAACTCTATTTTAAAATAAATGTTTAGAGAACTTAATGGATACTAGATGGTAAATTATTCTACAGGCTGAACCTCTAAAATCTGGGATTCTCTGATCCAGCAACATCTGTGGTCCGGGAAGACCACGGATATTGCTGGACCAGAGAGACTCAGCTGGCCAGGTTCAGAAGGGAAGCCTGGGCTGGGCTGGCAGTGGGGAGCACAGCCCTGCCCAGGGCTGATAGCAAGAAGCGCAGCCCCAGTCGGGGTTGGAGGCAACAGGGTCAGCAGCCAGTGGCCAGAAGTGCAGCCCTCCTGAGGCTGGTGAGGTGGGGGAACACATCCCCGCCCAGGGCTGCCGCAGTGGGAAACACAGCCTCGTTCAGGGCTGGCAAAGCCCCAGGTAGGGCTGGTGGTGGGGAGCGCAGTCCCAGTCAGAGCTGGAGGTAGCAGGGCTGGCAGCCAGGAGCATAGTCCTGGCCAGGACTGGATGCAGAGAGAAGAATCCCAGCCAAGACTGGAGTCAATGGGGCCAGTCCTTATCCAGGGCTGGCGCACTGGGGGATGCAGCCCCGGTTAGGAATGGCATGGTTCAGGGGCTGGAGGCAGCGGCAAGCAGGAGGGAGCACAGCCCCAGCTGGAAGTAGAGCCTACAGTGGGGTAGGAAGCCTTGACCTCCCCTTTTCCAACAAACTCCATGGTTCAGGACCACTTAAGTCCTGAGGGTGCTGGACAAGGGAACAAGACAAAGCATATCTGTGAAAGTACTTAGAAAATAGTTTGCTAATTCTGCTTTTCATGTGACTCCCTTTTTCAATTTCAATTTCTCAAATGTTTACATATAGTTCTGCAGTGTGAGTTATGTGAACATATTGGAGAAAATAATTTGGCCCTGCATTTTAACACTGTTTAATTTGGACATTGACTGACTTATGCTAAAACTTGGAGCCCATATATTCCATCTAAATTAATACAACAATTCTAAATTGGCTTTTACCATTCACAGAAGGTTTTGATACTTCTCTGAACATCTGTTCAATGTGCAGTGGCAGTTTTAGCAATACTAGGAGCCATCAGGAAAGGGAAAAACAAAATATCACAATGCCACTCTAAATCCATGTGACCTTGGGCATGTCACTTAGGCCAGGTCTACAATCATAGGGAACATCAAATAAGATACACAACACCAAGTACATTATGTAGCTGGAGTTGAAGTACCTTATTTTGTGTTTCCTGCCATCCCCACAGTGGGAGACTGACAGGAGCATTTGCTCCTGTTGGCTCTCCTTACTCCTACACAAGCAGGAGTGCCAGCCACCAGCAGGTGTGCCATCTGAGTTCGATTTAGAGAGTCTTAACTAGACTTGCTAATTGAACTCTGAAAGATTAATCATGGTGGCAGCAGCGATCTTCCATTTAGTGTAGACATGGCCTTAATCTGACCTGTTACTTCTTATTTGTAAAATAAGGGTTAGTGAAGATAAAAAGACACCAATGCTTGCGAGTTGCTCAGTTACTATGGTATAAATACCCTGGAAGGTGTCAAAGTAGATGAATGGAATGATTAATAAACACTCTACTCCTGTAAATAAAGCAGACTTTCATAAGCCTAACTCTAAAATCTATTTGCATTTATTGCTCCATCAAGCTATATTCTAAAGGGTTACATGTAACCACGGACAAAATTTAACTTCATATTACACACAAAAATAGAGCCCTCTATGGTCCCTGTTGTTTTTATAAGAAAAAAACAAACCTAATTCAGTAAAAATTCAGGGGCCTATCTGTGTGTTTTCTAGTTAAATATAGTTCTTATTTAATCAAAAGGCATATTTCATCCTCTATAGGAACACCCAAGGGATTTAATTATGATGCGGTGAGAGAGAGAATTCTAGCTGTCAACAAAGTAGAGTCTATCCACAACCTTCATCTCTGGTCTCTAACAATGAATCAAGTTATTCTGTCTGCTCATGTTGTTACAGGTCAGTAAATTTCTGTAAACAGGCAATAATAATTCAGCTGAAGCCAAGACAGGTTAGTCTCTCCTGATTATGATACAACTGCTTGTCTGTATCTAGTGTTTGTTGAAACAAATGTTATCATTTTAAAAGAAATAAAAGCAACAACAACCCTCCTAATATTTTTATCAAATATTATTGTTAAAATATTTGGATTGTCTACAACAACATAGGGCACAAGCTTGCTGTTCAGACTGTTGTAATATAGTTTCAGAGGGGTAGCTGTGTTAGTCTGTTTCAGCAAAAACAACACATTTTTCGTCTTTAAGGTGCCACCGGATTCTTTGTTTGTGTGAGTTTTAATATAGTTGTTAAAATGTAAGTTGGAAACAGAAGTAAATCACCCAAATGTTTGCAAATAGTTTCACTAATCACCCAGTCTTAAAAGCATTCCAGTGTGGCAATTTTTTGTTCCTCTTCTACAGAAGACACAGTGGACAATCACCAGATCCTGAAAGAAGTTACTCAAGTTCTCTTTGACACTTTCACCTTCCACTCCATCACCATTCAGACTGAATCACAAGCAAATCAGAAGCCTGACTGCATCTTTTGTCAAGATCCAAAGGATTAAAGCAGCCAGTGCAGCTTGTTGAACTATTAATTACACATTTAATAGGTCAAAGGGTGCGGTGTGCTGGTTGCACATACTCAGCTAGGCAACAAACCATAATTAATTGAACTGACAGGATCTGTCACAGAGTGCAGTACACACTTTCACTTGTTCTTTGGTGCCATTTACCATGAAGAGACCAAGCCTTCAGGCCATTTGTCAGTTGGATGATATGTGAGCCAGTGGTTACATTCAATTACAAGAACGTGTATCTAAATTATTCTTGACTAAAGACAACTGGCTGGAGTTAAAATAACATTTAAGAATATCTGTTTGTAAAGAAAGGTCACAAAAATTATGCAGCCTTCAAATTATTCTCAGATGAATTATCCCTCCATGACTGGTTGAAATCTGACAATTGTCACAGCAAAACTCAATACCACTACTCAGGAGAAAGGAGCACAAAGAATAAAAAAGATCAGTGCCTAATGGATATCCTGCATGTTGCCTGCTAAGACAAGTAACAGATGTGGCACATTCTATAACAGTAACCAAAAATGTCTAATTCTATACATATCAGGTGAATTTGTGTAATTGTCAGTTAGCCTACAGCAACTAAAGGTTTTTTTGTTGGGTTTTTTTTTTTTTTTTGTGAGATTAGAAGCGTATCCTCCATAGTTGTTGCATAGAAAAACAGTCGATTCTCTCTAATCCGGCAACTGCGGTCCAGCAACATCCATAGTTCGGCATGGTTTTAGTTAGTCAGATGTCCACTTATTTTGGGTGTGGCCAAGTTTCTTGCGGTCCAATAAAGTTTGTATATCAACAACAATCCTGCCTCTCAATGTTCTGTGCTATTATTTAGCTCTAATTTATCTCTAAATGTCTTCTAACATCAGTGGAAGCATTGGTAGCGTGGTTTGGCACTGGTTAGGTCCTGAGGGTGCTGGACTAGAAAGGCTCAATCTTCAGTAAATAACCCATTAAGGGGCAGGGTTGAAGGCACTAAGCATAACTGACCCGTGGAAATTTATTGCCACAAGATATCAATGAGGTCATGAAAGATTGGACATTTATACAAATAAAAAGAACATTAATTTTTTCACAGATTAATGCCAAAGGGGACTATTAGATTCACGTATTCTGAGCTCCTGTGTAACACAGGCCATATTATTTCATACAGTGATTTTTACAGCCAGTCCATGACTCTTGACTGAGTTTCTTCATGTCTTTTGGAAAGACATTGAACCTCAATGTAAAGTTATGTTAGAGTGTATAGAATATAGTTTCACTATGTAACTCTGCTGTGGATATGCAAGATGCCCTACTGGTCTTGGGTAGCTCTGCAGCACTTTTCCTCAGTTTTCATTCTCCACTGAACTTCACAGTACATGACCAATGACTGAATCATATAATGGCACCCCCTTTGGGGGCTACTTTAAAAGTGTACAATATTTTAAAAATAGGGCTGTCCAGCTATTCAACATTAATAGTGATTAATAGTGTTTAATCATGTAATTGAAATTAATCACAATTAATCACACTATTAATTACACTGTTAATAGAATATCATTTATTCTTGGATGCTTTCTGCATTGTCAAATATATTGATTTCAACATTACAACAAGGAATACAAAAGTTATACTTTAATATACTTTATTAGAAATATCTGCACTGTAAAAAACAAATGAAATAGTATTTTTCAAATAGCCTAATACAAGTACTTTAGGGAAATCTCTGCCATGAAAGTTGCACTAACAAATGTAGAACTACAAATAAAAAATAACTGCATTCAAAAATAAAGCAACGTAAAACTTTACAGCCTCCATGTTCAGTCAGTCTATTTTATTGTTCAGCCAATTGCTCTGACAATTTGCAGGAGATAATCCTGCCCACTTCTTGTTCACCTGCAGTGAGAACAGGCATTCGCACGGCACTATTGTAATGGGTATTTGCAAGATGTTTATATGCCAGATTCACTAAAAAATCATTTGTCCCTTCATGCTTCAACTGCCATTTCAGAGGGCATGCGTCCATGCTGATGATGAGTTCTTGATAATGATCCAAAGCAGTGTGGACTGATGCATGCAAATTACAGATTCAGGTTCTATAGTTTTCACATCAGAATGTTGCTCTAGTAAGACTTCTGAAAACAAGCTTCACACCTTATCCCTCACAGATATTGGAAGGCATTTCAGATTTTTAACTTTGGGTGGAGTTCTGTAGCTATTTTTTGTAATCTAACATTGGTACCTGCTTTGAGTTTTATCATATCTGCAGTGAAAATGTTCTTAAAATGAACATGTGCTCAGTCATTAGTGGATATTGATATAAAATGAAAGATATGGCAGAATGTGGGGAAACAGAGCAAGAGACATACAATTCCCTCCCAAGGAGTTCAGTCACAAATGTAATTAACACTTTTTAAAGCAAGGTCATCCACATGGAACCTTGTCCTCTGGAATGGTTGTAGAAGTATGAAGGGTCATACACATATTTAGCATATTGGACAAATTGTAATGCCAGCTACAAAAATCCCATACAACCACTAGTTCTCACTTTCAGATGACATTGTAAATAGGAAGAGAGCAACACTAGATAAAAGTTGTTTATCTTAGCAATTGGATGAACAAGAAGTAGGACTGAGTGAACTTGGAGGTTCTAAAGTTTTGCATTGTTTTGTTTTTTAATGTAATTATGTAACAAAAAAATCTACATTTATAAGTTGCACTTTCATGATAAAAAGGTTTCACTACAGTACTTGGATAGCACTACAATACTTGCATGTGATGAAGTGAAAAACTGTTTATCATTTTCACAGAGCAAATATATATATAAAAATAATATTATAAAGTGCACTTTGTATTCTATGTTATAACTGAAGTCAATATATTTGAAAATGTAAAAAAATCCAAAATATTTAATACATTTCAATTGTTATTTTATTGTTTAGCTGTATGTTTAAACTGTGATTAATCACACTTAATATTTTACATTATGATCAATTTTTTAATTAATCACAAGTCAACTGTGATTAATAAACAGCCCTATTTAAAAGGCCTCTTTCATCTCAGCCTCTCACTGGTGGCACAGTTTCTTCCTTGCTGAAGTCTGGCTGCTTTAAAGTCTCTCACCCAGGGTACGTTTACACAGCAGTGTTATTTTGAAATAACTGATGTTATTCCAAAATAACAAAGTGTGTCTACACTGCAAGCCATTATTTTGAAATAATGGCAAGCTAGAGGACTTCATACTCCAACTCCTGAAACCCTCATTTTATGAAGCATAAGGGAAGTTAAAGGAAAGAACACTTCCTTTGACTTCCTGTTGTATAGACAGTGCCAAAAGCCAAGTTAAGCTATTTCGACTTAAGCTATGCAATTGACATAGCTCAAGTTGCGGAACTTAATTCGATGTTAGCCCTGCTGTGTAGATGTCCCCCCCATCTACCACCTCCTTGCTTGTGAAGTCTGTCTTCCACTGTCCCTGGTTCTGACTGTTTGTATGACTGTGATTCACCCTATCACCTTCTGCTTGCGCTTGGTTGAGTGTCAGCTCCTGGCCACCAGCTGCCTGTTAACCAGTCTAACATTCTCCTGTGGACAAAGACATCCTTTACTTTGCCATGCAAGGTAATAGCTGCATCTAGTTCCAGAGTCCCTTTGATCATTCCCCTGTGATATCACTGGCTACACACCAAATTACCCAGGCTGTTTTTTTTTTTACCAAAGGAATAGCACACATCTGCTTGTATGATTCAGCTCAAATTTAACTTCTCGTTTAATATCACAGCACTAAGGTATTTATAGTGAAAGCACGAGTAAGTTAATTGTGGAAGACGAGAGATAGTGAGCCCAGAGATTGGAAACAAGTAGTTACATATGAAACAAATCATAACAGGTTTTCTAGATACTAAACTTAACAAGCAGTTAAGATTCTTTAGACAAGAGAATATCTCACCCTAAATTGACTGCAGCATCAAGGCTGGCTGAGCTCCCACTTTCATGAATGTCAATAAATCTGCTTCCCAGATACAGGATGAGTGGGATGTCTACTTTGGCTTCTACTTATCTCTCTAAACTTCATTGTCTGAACCCAGATAGGATTACCCCTGCGACTTGTTTTTCCTATGTGCTGCTGCCCTGTTTACTTCAGATCTCTTCCTCCACTTTGTATGTAAATGGGCACCCACAGCCCATTTCCATCCTGACAGGCCTACAAATATTGCCTCCTGTCTGGAGGAAAACTTATGTTTTCCACCTCTGTCTTTAAAACATATTTTCTTATTTACACATATTCCTTGCATCACCTCCGGACATATGTTTTACAACAATATTAATGACTAGCACAACACCAGCTTTAGCTTCAGAGCTCACAGGAGACTCTTTGGTGAACTGGAATGTACGTACCAGAATCAGGATGTACCTTTACTCCTTCGAACCCCCCTGTTAGCTGGCATTAAGGCGTTCTTGGGTCATAACAGCTAAACACAAAATTTCAGCCTTTCTGGCCGTTCCCCTACTCTCTCCCTTTTAGAGTCATGCTCCTTGAAAGATTGACAGATTGCACAACTCAAGAGCACCCTAAGCTGGCTCTGGCTGTCTCCTGCAGCAATCTCCTGCTGCTCCTGGCCCATACTAGCTTCCTACATTCTCAGCTCTGGGGTTGCTAGGTCACAGGCCAGCCTGAGCCTAGATTGTTATTAAGGGACACCAACTGCAGTCTGAATGAGGCTTAGAAAGATGCCTCTTCTGTGGGCAGGTTATTTCATAACTGTCTCCCAAATGGGTTTCTTTCACCTTCCAGTCACACCTCTGGTAATGGGCATTGTTAGGATCTGGGTATCATCAGACTGGATGGATTACCCCATTTGGCAATCCCCATGTTCCAGCTACACCTACTTATTCAGACTCTCAACCCCTCACCAAAATTCAAGGCCACTGATGTGGGGCGGGGCAAAGAGGGCACTTGCCATAGGGCCCAGCGACTTAAAAGGGCCCAGGGCTCCAGGGCCTTTAAATTGCCACCAGAGCCCTGTGTGATGCAGTCCCTGTGGTGCTGAGGGCTGGCCAAGTGGCACTGAGGGCTTGCTGCTACTAGCCCCGCCCCTTCTACCCAAGAGGGGCCTGGAGCCGAGCCCCCACATGCATTGCCCAGGGCCCAACAATGTCTGTTACCAGCCCTGCCAAAAAAGTGTGGTGTGGTTGCAAATAAATGCCCATGTGCTTCTACATAAACAGTCCCAATTTTGCCCTTACATATCTCAGTGCATAACTGATCTAAATTTGCACATTCCACAGCTGCTATCATCACAGCCTCTTTCTATGAACAGGCTTGTTAATGGAGAACAAGCTTTCTGATGTTCAGTGTAACTGTGTTCCAGAGCTGATGACTGGAAAGAGCATTGTGCTATTAAAGTTCAATGAGGATAGAACTTGGCCCTGAATGTTTGTTTGTTTTTATGGAATATGGACAAGATTTGCTTTAGGTTAAAGTAAAATTTCAATTGGATCGGCCTAAAGAGAGCACAACACAATGTTCTTGCCATTATAAGATTTTTTTTCAGTTGTGGTAACATAAAGAGTATGTAATTGCAAAGTACAGATTGATAAATTACTCTGCCATTTCTTGCTTAGATGAGATGGAAACGGTATTCTGCTTTGCATGAAGACCTTAGTCAGACAAACCTCCCACTGAAAAAGACATGTGTGGATGGGGAAGA